AATTCGTAGCTCTGCCGGTGATCGTGAAGTCACTTGGCCATGGTATCGCCTTGGACGGGCCATGCAGTCCAAATGTGTTGACTCGTGTGGTCCAGCACAGTTTGAGCATTTGGGAATGTCGGCTGTGCATTCTGCTGCTTCATGCGTGCCCGAGCATTTCACGCACCGCTGTCCTTTGACGCAGTTCCTTGTCGAGTGATAACCCCAGCAGCGTTGACATTGCTCGATGGGCCGTTTACGAGAGAATAGTATGGCTGGTCCACTCTCGTCGAACAGCCTGAACTTTAGGTTGGCTGGTGCCTGTTTGAAGTGTACAATCCAACTGGTGGAGTACTGACCCAGCTTTATGTCATTTGGGCGCGCCTGTATTGGCGCGACACCACACACTGACTGGCATTCGGTCTTCACCATTTCGCTGGTGACTGCTATTCTTCCGTCCAATGTCCGGATGTTAACCGGTACATGAGGGACCATGACAGAGGTCCAGTCTGAGGCAGGCTCAATTGTTATGTCCTCCTTTTGGAGAGAAGCGCCAACACTCAGGATTATTTCTCTGAGTGCGTCTGATGCACACTCAATTGCTAGGCCAGACCTAACTTGTGTCATTGCTATGATGGCTGAGGGTGCGACCCCAGCTTTTTCAGTTACAATCTTCTTTATTGTGACAGGTGACAACTTCCGCCACTGGTGTCCTTGACCTAATCGGAGGAACAGTCTTTTGTCTTCTTTGGGTGGTTCTTGATTTTTCGGCTTTGTATGCACAACAGGTCTATGTTTGACCAGATTAACTGGCCGGTCCGGGAGCTTGGCCACCTTCCGCGCTACAGTGACCCACGGGGAAGCATTTTCGCGTGGCTTTGGAGGAAGTTCGTGGCGGGGTTTCTCGGCTGGTTTTGTCGCCCTAGGCCCAGGAATTGGTTGTTGGGTGGTTTCGGGTGCTGGTTTCTTGCCTATGTTAATTTTGGCATTGGTGTTGCCTATCGCAAATGCTGTCACAATAGGTGAAATGTTTTCTATAAGTGGCGCAACTAGGGTCGCGCCTTCAGTTCCCACCTTGGATTTTGCCCAAGCGTCAATAGTATGCAGGAAATCTTGAGCTACGCTCATTCGCTGCTTTCGTTCGCGTTCTGATTGCTCCATTGCAGCAGCAATCCCAAGAAGGCTCGGGTGAAGGTGGTCGCCTGGGTCGATCGACGCCGAGAACGACGGCTGGTTAAACGCAGCCATGATGCTGCTTGATTCTGCGCGTAATGCGATGGTATGGAAGGTTTGATGAACGATGTTATGTGTGATTATAAATTGAGAAGTTTAAATAAATTGAGAAGTTGTAAATAAATTCTTATAAATTGAGAAGTTGAGGGGGTTTTTACCATAAAGGTTTCCTAAATAAATTTTAGAGTTCGTAGACACCTGCAAGGGCCTTAAGGCGCCAAATCGGGCTAAATGAAATCAAATTCAAATTCAAGAAAAAAAGTGAATATGTCCTAACGATTCCGCTGTTTAGCCAGGAGGGCTTCTTTTGTCGATGAGTCAACAGCACTCCCCAGCGCGCCGGAAGGCACAATAGAAGTCGGGCTAAGCTACTATACAGCAATCACGCTCTGTCTAAACTTTTCTGACATTTCAGCACGACCTTCGTAAAGGAGTCGGAAGGAGTCTAGAAAGGCAGAGAGTGAATTTCCTGAGGTACCCACAAGTCTGCAGCGCCCAGCTGGCCGGCCTCTTCGAACGCTTCAGAAGGGGCACTATGTCTTCGGATCTAGTTTTAATGTCGGTATTAGAAGAGCCCCGCACCCGGTGGTTTTTGCGATTTTTCCCAGCTGCCATACACCCGCAAATGGCCATCGTTTTGTTGGCTGTAGAGGGGAGATAATGAAGGGCTAGGGGCTCATCTAAGTGTATGATCGAATGAAGACTTGTGAGGGGTGGTATCGTTTGAGGGGAGCTGTATGGGAAGCATAGGAGAGGAAATACTACTGGCATAGGTATACTTGGTCTGTAGGTAGAGAGGACCTGCATTTCCTATACAGTCATGGACTCTGACAGAACAATAAAATGAATTAATAATAATAACGAACCTGACAAGGGCCCAAAGCAGTTTGGCAATGCAAATACGAAGTGAGCACATGGGGTTTAACTCGTATTTACACAGAAGAGACGTACCCAGAGTATTAAGTCCGGGTTGTCCATGCGGCTACCAATCACAGTACCCAAAGCATATGATTATGTCCTGCCCCCGAAGGTCAAATGGTAGAGCTGGGATCTGGAGACAAGCCAAAGATCGATCCTACGAAGCGCTGATAAATAATCCTGGAGATATAAAAAGGATAACACAGTGGATCCTAAACCATGGTTGGATAGAGCAATTACAGATGACAAAAGCGGTCGAAATACTGCTGAGGGAAAGGAAAAGGTCAAATAATGCTTGGGGAGGATAGATATGATCTGGTTAGTTTATATGAATGGCACTAAGTGTAACTGCGCTTGCTGAAGAAATTTTGTGAGAATTATAGACAACAAATAGAAAGACGTGGGAGGTTTTCACCACAAGGATTCCCACACGGGTAAATATTATAGACTGTAGACACCTGCATGGGCCCACAGGGCGCCAAATCAGAATAATGAAATCAAATTCAAATTCAAATAACAATAACGATTCCGCTAAAAACATCACCATTTCGAAAAATCGACCCCATTGATTTTTACCCCGTGAAGTTCCATTCTGGTCATGTCTGAGGTTACGAGTTATCCTTTGAAGGATCCCCATCGTAAAAAGTCCCGAACGGACCACAGCGGCGAAAACGACGCGTCGAAGAAGCCCAAGATACTGATACAGCCTTACAAAGGTTCAAGAAAGCAGTTGAAGGAGATGAGCTCTCAACCAGAGCATACAAGAAGATTATTAATGCGGCAATACGCGTTATTGAAGGACTTCGCGACGCGAACACTCACCCAGCCCCAAAGGCTAGCAATGAAAGTACAGAGATAGCTAAGATCCTACAGGAAATAAAATCTAATAAAGCAGCAATCGCTCAGCCCCAAGGCTCGACTCAAGGACGGGAACAATCATGGGCAAAGATAGCAGGCAAGCCTGAAGTTGCAGGTACGATAATAAGAATATTGGATGAAAATGAGAAGAGAGCAGTCGCAAAGCTCTCGAGCGAAGAGTTAGTGAAGAAAATCGGTAGCAACAAAATTGTCGGAGCTAGGCAGATGTCAAATAGACAGGTGAAGGTTTACTACGCGGGCCAAGAAGCCAAAGAAATGATGGAGAGGAGAAAAGAGTGGACGACGAAGCTGGCAGCTACAGCACAAATAGCCCATCCCAATACCAAACACTAGTACACGATATGCCTCGGTCATTCGACCCAGGAAATTCGGAACACCTCAGGGAGCTAGAAAAATCAAACGCAGTATATATACAAGGTAAACAGATACAGAGGGCCACATGGCTGAAAAAATATTCGCAGCCAGAGAAAGCTGCAGGCACTCTTATCGTCTGGTTTGAATAGGCAGAAACAGCAGATAAAGCAATTTCGCAAGGGCTAATTTGGAAGTATGAACTGAAAGCAACAGAGATCTTTCGTTCAGGATTTCGTGCCATGCAGTGCTTTAACTGTCAGAGACACGGCCTTATTGCAAAGGTCTGTATCGCCGCCTCTAAATGTGGCCAGTGTGCCGGCACCCACAACACTAGAGAATGCTCCGGTAAACCAGAGATAAGATGTGGCAACTGTGCAAGGCACCATCACTCATGGGACTCTAACTGTCCAGTTAGAATCTCAGCCAAATCTAAAGCGGTCCTCAACAGGACACAAGACCCAGGGAGATTCACGGCACACGAGAAACAGCCATAAAGTCAAGATATAGGCTGGCAGTTTGTAGGAAGCAGAAAAAGAAGAGCAGGAGGAGCAGGGTCACAAGTCGTCGGAGCCGATGGGGAAGTCATCGAACGCCGAGGGCCAAGAAGGCCACGAAAAGTCGTCGCTCAAGTAAACCTGACCGCAACAGCAGCAAACGCTTCAAGCCTTATGAGTATGTCGTCTTCAACAATTCAAGAGAATCCCCGGCCTGTGACACGGGAAAATGTAGTAGACATTAGCGAAGCACCGCAGTGCACAATGAGCCAATAAAGGGCACAAATACGCTAAATATCATACAGTATAACGTCAACAGAAGCAAAAATATAGTACAACATCACTTTTTCCAAGCGTTAGATCCAACGAAGCACCATGTGTTGGCATTACAAGAACCATGGCGTCACCCAACAGAAAATACCACAGTCAAACATCCAGCTTACTATCTGGTGTTTCCAAAAGGAAACAAATGTAAAACATGCATATACGTAAGCAAACACCTCGCAGTCAATAAGCGGGAGATGAAAAAATCTCCAGACGGAGCGGATGGGGACATCACAAGTATCAGCATCCAAACTGATGGAGGTAAAATATATATAAATGTAAAAGTGCAAGGGAAATAATAATTGTGTAAACCTTAATCCTTGCATGTCCTATGTTAGCCCTAATAAGCGAGCGACGCTAAATGGGTTGATCTATGGGGGAACACTCTATACTTGGAATGTGCGTGCAATTTTTGTATTAGATTTCTATATACCGAGTTAGGGTAATATAACTTCACCTTTTGAGGAAGGATTTTATATGGTAGCATAATCTTTTTACGATCAAAAGAACTCCTTTACTTTCTTCACACAACGAAAATGTCAGGAAAACTGTCTAAAGCTGATCGCGACATTATTGCACAACAGAAAGACAACAATCTTGAGTCCGATCAATCGGTCGCAAGTATTTCGGGCAAGTATTTCGGGCAAGACAAGGCTCAGCAATTACAAGATGGACGAGTGAAGTTCCAATAGGAAATCTAATGTAAGAAGGGAGAATGTCGATAACGAGTCTAGTTCTTCGGCGAGAAGGAACGAACAGTCCGACAGCGACGACGATTGGTGGAGTCCTCAAAGGACGTTACAAGTAACCACAGCAGAAATGAATCTCAGGTGGGATCAATTACAGTGGAAACCTCACAAGGACCACTTCTTACGCGGCTCCCAGGATTGGGGAGTTTATAAAAATGAATTGATGTTCGATTTGCAGTCGATAGGGTATGTTAAAGGGATCAAGTTAACAAACCTAGATAAAGCAAATTTCGGATCAATGATCAGGAGATCAGTGACCGATAACCCAAGAAGAATCAATGAAGATCTAAGCAGCGGGTCTGATATGATGAAATTACTCAACAAGACATATCGACAGTCTAGCACAATACAGGCTGAAAACTTCTTCAATGACCTAATAGAGCTGGCTTACGACGGAGGTAACGCCATTGATTTCGTGACAAAATTTAGAGTCTGCGTCAGAGACTTTAAATCAACTGGTCAGGAGTTAGCTGACAATATCACAATACTTATATTCAAACGTGCGGTCGAGAAAAGGGCCCACAGATGGCATTATGAGGCCTCACATACCTCAAAAACCGAACAATGGTCGTTGGAAGAACTGTTCAACGATTTTATCTCCAACTACAGCCTCAAGGCTTTTCATAACACAAATAAATACCATCCCAACAGAGACTTTCGGGTAAACAACAACTTTGACAACAAAAGGGGAGATAAGGCCAATATTCGGCTAGGTCAAATTGAAAATAGAGGCAAGCTGGCCTTTAAACCCAAAATAAATCAGGGTGAAAAGAACCCTGAGAGTAAGAACCAAGTTGTATGTTACATTTGTGGAAAAACTGGTCATTATACAAATAATTGCCATAGCAAGAGGGGAACAACTCAAGGTCCTCATTGATGTCACATCTGTAGGGGCAATCACTATGCAAGAGAGTGCCCAGCTCGAAAGTCAGATCATGATCGTCCTTTAAATCAAATTTCAACGAAGGGTAAAGAAAAGATGATCGAGTATAATGTTGGTAATGATTGGTACGATGAGTGGATGGAAGAAAATGGGATAGTAAACAACCCAGAGATCGAAGAGACGCCACACTCAAGTAATGATGATAGCTCATGCAATGGAAAAGAGGTGGCTGTTTGATACAGGGGCTGATATTAATGCCACTAACGACCTAAAGAATTTTGTCAAGGAGTCTGTAAGGAACTTAAGACCACGGGAGGTGGCAATAAGGACAGGCAGTGGAGTTATTTATCCAGAGAAAATAGGCGAAGTATGCCTCAAGATCAGAAATTCAAAAAATAAAGCGAGAAGGCTCAGATTAAAGAATGTCTTTTATGTGAAGAATCTTCCCGTAAACATTATAAGCGGCGAATTGTTTTACAAAAGTGGATGCTCATTACAAGGTGAAAAACTTGTTGACAGTAGTGGAAGTATTATATCTTTAATAAATGTCAATAAACGAGGATTTTTTCTCTGGCTTTCTGGAGAAGATGAACCAATGTGTTACAGGCTGCGCCTATCTCCTAGTGACTGTCGCACGGACACTTATCATTATTACGTCATTAGCCTTGCTATCTAAAGAGATGTCCAACTTGGCCATACAAATGCAGGGCTGCAACAAATATGGAAACAAGATATTGTTGCAGCAAGTCTCATATGGAATCATGGGCCGATACGACCCAGATTCGCTATGACGAGCCCACTCGGAATATCAAGGATATGGTGTAGTAGAACAGACAGTGAGGTTAGCGCATTAGGAGTTGGGACACCTTAAGTAGCCTCCCCTCGGTGGACAGTTCCGAGATGTATGTAGAAAATAGACAGTAATCGGCCACCATTCCTTTACTATATTGTTTTGTTGATCGCCCATCACACAATGAAACACATCAAATCAGGATTCCCGTGCCAATTAGACAAAGAACCCAACAGTAAAAATTCAAAAATTCCCTCTGATGAAACCATTAGAAACCTAACCTTGTGGCATCGAAGATTATGCCACCCAAGCGCAGATAGGTTGCGGTGGACAATTAAAAATACTACTGGCATAAACCTAAACCCGAGTGACGTTATCAATATATCATGTGAGGCTTGTGATCTAGGTAAATCTGTAAAATACACTACCAATGAGAGACGACGACGAGTTGAATACGTCGGAGAAGGATGGCACTGCGACTTGGGATCGAGCAACCCTAAAACCATGGATGGCAATAGTTACTACTATTTAACGACGGATGATCTATCTAGATACCGTTTCCTCAAGCCATTGAAGACCAAAAAGGATGCGGCAGTTGAGTTGATGAACATCCTGAGAAATATTAACGCTGAACTGCAGCTTGAAGGGAGAAGAGTCAGGTGGATTACAATTGACGGAGGCAGAGATTGGGGCATGTCGAGATTTGAGGAATTCGCTGCAGACCAAGGTATAGATATCATTGTTTCCGCCCCAGACAATCAGCATCAGAACGGAGTGTCAGAGAGAGGAATTAGGTTCATACAGGACGCTGCCCGATGCTGCACAATTCAAACAAAAATACCATCGGTATTTTGGGACAAAATAATGGAGACAACATGCTATACACTCAATATGACATCTCAAACTCCAGTCGATCAGTACAAGACCCCATATGAAGTATTTTGGTCAGCTATGAAAGGCAGGCCGATTAAGCCAGACGTCAGTCACCTCTTAATTCCCGGATCAAGATGCATAACACATGTAGAGAAGTCGCGCAGAATTGCAGGAGAAAAGCTAGACCCCAGGGGTGCAAGGAGTGTGTTTCTCGGATACAAGGGACGTAGAAACAAACTTGTATGGATATTGGGCGGTGGGATATTCTTAGTCTCCCAAAATGTTTTAGCATATGAGAACGTTGATAAAAATTTGGGTTGGCCAACAGAACCCTAAGAAGTAGTGAGGTCATTGCCAACCAGCGTCCAACGTCGTTTGAGAGCTAGGAAAACCAACTATGCCAGAGAAGAGGACTACAATAGGACACGAAGTGTATCACCGCCAGATGAACCTAAAGGACTAGGTCGGCCAAAGAAGACAATTAGAAGACCTTTTGATGAAGCACCATTGTTCGAAAGTCAAACAAGGAACAAGAACATGAGCCCAAGCATAAACAACGAAGATGAACGCCCAACAGAGGAGGACTCAGACCACGAGGAAGAAATTGGACAAAGTGCCCATTGCCTCATAGAAAAATCAATCAAGAGGCAACTCCATAACCTACATGGAGATGGAGACGACATGTTTAGGCTATTAGCTAACTCTTCATCTGTCGCTAAACAAATCGTATCACCAGATAAACCTAACCTGCAGGAAGCAATGAGTAGCTCCGAGAAAAACGAGTGGCTAAAGGCTATCTTTGCTGAAATAAAGGGGTGTGTGGATAGGAAAACATTTCAGTTTGTTCCAAAAAATTCATCCAAACAGAATGGCCAAATTATCTCAGCGAAATGGGTGCTTAAGAAAAAGTACAAATCAAATATGGAACTGGACAAATTTAAGGCTAGAGTTGTAGCAAGAGGATTTTTACAAAAGAAGGGTATTGATTTCAATGAAACAACAGCTTCTACGGCTAGATCAGCTAGTTGGAGAGTATTGATGGCATTGGCAGCCATAAATGAATGGCACATTCTGCAAGCTGACTTTATATCAGCTTACTTAGCAGGAGACTTAAAGGAAGTCATTTATATGCGACAGTTTCCTTACCTCAAAGAACTTTTTAATTCAAACCCAGATCTAAGTAAGGCATCAGGATATACAGAGAAAAGTATAATCCAACTACAAAGGCCACTATACGGATTAAAACAATCCGGAGCGTGTTGGCAAGATAAAGTTAAATCATTAATGCATACTCGAGGGTTTAAAGCGTTGGCAGCCGACGACGCAATTTACTTTAATAAAGATAGTGGAGTAATAGTAGCGTCGTACGTTGACGACTTTCTATTAATAGGGCCTGATAAAAGTAAAATCAGTGCATTAACAAAATCCTTGAATAAATCACTGCTACTGAATGACTTGGGAGAAGCTTCATGGTTTTTAGGAGTCAGAGTCCAATTGAAATTAGTTCCGGAGATTGGAAGAATTACACACTAGCCTCAAGTTTGATTAAGAGATACGATAAATGTGTTTACTATACGAAGAAGTTTACTGATGTTTAATGGATAGTTAATTGTGATTAAATTGCGATATTTCTATATGTGTGGCGAGAAGTCCCTCTATATACATGAAAGCGGGGTTTTCCGCTCACTAGTGTGAACTCCAACATACTTCCTAATCTAACCTAAACGGGAAGGTTGTTGGAGATCCTGAAGCCAATGTATGCTGTCAGACATCTATTGGCTAATTACTATTCATGCCAGTGAGTGATGATATGGGTTAATCATATCTCATGGCGCCAGTGCATATTATTCTAATATGTACTATTTGTCTACTGCAGTCATGTTGCTGCCTTAATTACAACAAGTCCAAAGATCATCACCCACAGGGAGTGTGAGGTTAGACCAAAAACAATACATCGACAGGTCAATGATAGAACTGGAATTACTGAGTCAACGGCCCGAACCAACACCTATGTCAGTTGCTAGTAGGGTAGACATGAAGAAATATAACGGAAAAGCCTCGAACACAGAGCTTTATAATTACAACAGGTTAATAGGAAAATACAACTTTTCGGCATGCATGGCCCGATGTGACACTTCACAAGCTATGTCTCAATTAGCGAGATACATGTGTAATCCTTCTCCCCATCACCACAAGCATGCGTCGAGAGTAGCCCAATATTTGTCTGGTAGTGCAAACAAGGGCTTGGAGTATACCAAAGATCACAGACACGTGAATGAATTCGGGAAATATGGATTGCATTGTGCTGTGGACGCTAGCTTTGCAGATGACTTTGAATCATCTAAATCAACAACAGGCTATGTTATATTCATGGGAGGTAGCCCAGTCATTTGGAGGTCAAAACTACAGACAACAGTATCTACACTGACTCGTGAAGCCGAGTATGAAGCCATCTTCGAAGCAACAAAAGATTACGCTTGGATAAGGACATTCCTAGAAGAACTGGGGCAAATGCCATCCGGACCCATCCCTGTCCTTGAAGACAACAACGGAGCAATCAAATGGGCTAACAGTACAGCAATCAGCTCTGGCCGAAGACATGTTCGTGTAGAGTACAACTACACCACACAGGAAGTTCGCGACATCAACGTTACCACAAGGAAAGTGGAGTCAAAATTGAACCCAGCGGACGGCTTGACTAAACCGCTTAACAATGCGGCGTTTAACGAGTTTGTTGAAAGACTCGGAATGGTAGATTGATTAATTAGCGGATTAAGGTTTAGGGGGCGTGTAAAAGTGCAAGGGAAATAATAATTGTGTAAACCTTAATCCTTGCATGTCCTATGTTAGCCCTAATAAGCGAGCGACGCTAAATTGGTTGATCTATGGGGGAACACTCTATACTTGGAATGTGCGTGCAATTTTTGTATTAGATTTCTATATACCGAGTTAGGGTAATATAACTTCACCTTTTGAGGAAGGATTTTTATAATAAACAATATTTACAACCCTCCCCCTCTCTCATACAGTAGCAAAAACTTAGGGACTCTCACTTACCTTCCAGAAATTCTTTCGAAGAACGGTCAACATATCCTAGTAGGAGACTTCAACCTACACCATCCTAGATGGGGAGGTCAAACGGTACTCAGCCACCATAAACTTGCAGACGACTTAATCGAAATGTTATGAAGTAAAGATATGAAGCTAGTACTTCCTGAGGAGACAATAACATGGAGCAAAAGGGGAAGTCAGAGTACGCTCGATCTTATCTTCTTATCCAAAGAACTCGAAGATGCAGTTATATGTTGTCAACCAGCTAGCGAGCTGGAAG